CAATAATGACTGTCGAAATGTGAATGGCAAAAGTCGGGAATTGGTTATATTTTCTACATTGATTTGACGTTTTATTTTATAAGCTGGCCCAAAGTTGTATTTTACGTTGCTTTATAGTTGTATTTTAAGTTGGTACAACGTTGTCTTTACGTTGATTCTACGTTCAACTTTAGTTGGCAAAACATTGTATTCATTGATATTCGGAATTAAATTTTCATTAAATTTCATTTTTTTTTATTTATACATTTTAGGTTTAGATTGTAAAAACAATCAACTTCTATTGATGTTTTACAAACATTGTTTACAAACGTTGTATTACATTTATATACATTATACACATACATTGTATATACATTATATACATTATATACATAGATTTATATACATTATATACATTATATACATACGTTGTATTACATTTATATACATTGAACCAATGTCGATATATATATATATATATATATATATATATATATATATATATATATATATATATATATATATATATATATATATATATATATATATATATATATATATATATATATATATATATATATTGGATCAATATTGGGTTTAGATCGTGAAAACGATCAAAATTTTTCGATGTTTTAAATGTTTTAGAAAAACATTGATTTATATATACTGAATCAACGTCGAAATATATACATTGGATGAACATTGGCTTTAGATCGTAAATACAATCAACTTTTTGAGATATTTTTACATACATTTGACCAATGTAAATTTGCGAGATGTTTTTAGTTCCGTCGGTAGTAACTTTATCATTAACCAAGTGGCATTGGATCAACGTTGGTTTTGCATTGGAAAAAAGAGCTAATGTTCGCGATGGTTTTACATACGTTGGCCTAATGTAAGTGTGCTAGCTGGGTAATTATCAAATTTATACTATTTTATCAAATAGTTTACATAAAATAAGAAACATGTAAATTGTTATAATTTTTGTTAAATTTGTATTTTTATTCTATTTCAATTTTTTATCACTCTATGTAAATCACTTATAGTATGATATTACTTTTAGTTTTTTGATTTTATATATTTTCAATTTGCTTATATATATGCATGCATTAAATATTGTAGTGGAGTTTTAATGTTTTAGGTGCATTATTTCAACGACATTTAAATTTTATTTAAATGTTGTTGAAATAATGGATTCAACAAGATTAATATTTTATTGTGTTTATTAATATTATTCTGCAAAAGCGAATTCATAGATTAATAAAACTCAAACATATTTGCAAAGTGCGTTATAAAATTTGCTTTTTATAGTTTTATATGTCAATTGAAATCACATTAGATTACAAAAAACATGAAAACAATAAATGCTACTTTGTCATGGAAAACCCACGCAATTTCAATGAATATATGGAATACCATGAAAAATCTATAGTTTTTCTCGGAAAATCTATGGAATCGAATTATGATAACATGCACACAACTATTATAATAATTGCTAAAACGGAAACACAAAAAAATATCTAATAATATTTTTGTTTCTTGAAATTTTTTTTTCGATTTAATTTTAAATAGGAAAAAACAACTTAGCACAAAAACTAATGGGAATAAAAACTCATTCACAATAAAATGTTAACTAATAAATAGTTTCTTGCTTAATGCTTAGTCCAAACATAATGGCAAATTTTCCATTTGGTAAAAATTTAACGGCATTTAGTAAAAATTTTAAAAAAATTAACTTAGACCAAAGTTAACTACGTAATAAATCGAATTAACTTGTGCAAATACAAAAAAAACTTAGTGTTAACATTATTAATTCTATATTTTAAATTATTAAATCATCATAATTTTTTAATTTTAATATCTAACTTAAATAAAGTCAAAAGACCAAAAAAATTTTAAAAAATACTTTAACTGAATCTATTATTTAATTAGGTAAGCAGCCAAGTATTTCAAACCTTTTCCATCTAACTTTATCTATTTTACCTAATCAAAACAAATTGAGCAAATTAAATGCCATTACAAACATCTGTCTGAAATTGTTGGTTACACTACTTCTAATTTGGTTTAAGGAGAAAATATTGTACAGGCCACGTAATAACATAATTGGTTGAACAAATATAAAATAGCATTTATGCTGACTTTTATAACATAAAGGGTTTTGATTTTTATGCAAAGGTTTCAACAAAGTAAATCATAAAATACTTAAAAATAAAGAGAATTTTATGAAGTTAGTAACTAAAACAATAGCTAAGGAATACATAACTAGCAGGGACCAACATGTATTTAAAAGATAGACAAAAAAGTTCGACAAAAAACATAGTATACTGAAGAGTAACTTGCAGTTTTATTTTTCGACCGTTATTTTGCATTTATTTTGTATAAATTATTTATATTTATTATCAAAATGTAAAAAACTACATCAATCTTATTTACAGGTAATTCAAATCTAGTTTATTATCTCATAATAATGAGGATATTAAATAACATCTCATAACAATAAAGGTATGGTTTTTAAAAAAAAAGTTAACAAAGAATTTGATTGAATAAACAAGAAGAAAAACATAAAATATTTTTGAAAATTAATAAATCGCGCATAACTTTTTTTATTTTAACATTAAAATCAGTAAATAAAACAAAATGGTAATGTTAAAATAAAAAAGAATTATGTGCGAACTATTAAACTCAAAAATATTTCTCTTTTTTTTTTTTACTATTCAAAACATAAAAAGTATATTAAATATGTAATTTATTAAGTATGGTAATGCAAAAACATTAAATATAAAAGTTTGTGCATAAGTTAACTTATTTTTGCTTTAGATGAGCACATCAGATAAGATAACTATAAGCAAATAAAAATAACTTTTATTATAATAAATGATAGTGTATTATTTATAATCATTGCTTTTATATGCTTACATTTAACTGTAATATTACATCTTGCGCATTATTAAACTTCTCTTTCTGAATCTTTTAAAACATTACTGTAGTTTTTATTCTCCGCTTATTTTTTCTTGGAACATCATTGCAAGTTAAATCCCAATGATTATTAGTTATCAAATCGTATCCAATAAACTGGTTACTTATGTAATACTAAATTAATCTAAATCACTTGTTATCTAATGTGCATTAAAACTAAAATCTTTGTTGCAAACTAAGTAAAAAAAATTTAACTGATTCACTTGACATACCTGCTATAATATTGCAAATTATGCAAATTAAGCAAAGCTATTGGTAATAGCTAGATTAAGATAAAGAAATGCATTATATAATTAACATATAATATATATATATACATATATATATATATATATATATATATATATATATATATATATATATATATATATATATATATATATATATATATATATATATATATATATATATATATATATATATATATATATATATATGATGATATACCATTCTCCAATATCAAGTTATGACTCCCACCCCGACCGCGTCATAATTTTTGTCATAATCATTTTTAAAAATATAAGATTTTTTTACTGTTTAAAGTTATTCTAGCGTAACAAAAAATATATATATACCATTCTCCAAAATCAAGTTATGACTCCCGAACGATGATGTCATAATTTTTGTCATAATCTTAAATAATCCTTTTTTTAAAAAAAGTTTTTTTTTGTTATATAAATCAGATGGAATCAAAGAACAAATAAAAAAAAAAAAACTATTACAACAGTTCGATAAACCAATATCAGTTGTAGTTGTAAAACCGTACAAGGCAGAAGAAGTAAAACCAAGTATATATACAGGCAATACAAACGGTTATCATAACTATCGTTCATAGAAAGTTCTTTTTTACATTTTAAATGGAAGTTTTAAATTTTATGAAAAAAAGTGGTATACGAATATGCGAGTTTTTTCAACCTGTTGTAAATGTTAACAACATTTACAACAGGTTGAAAAAACTCGGTCGTTAAAACAGGTTAAAAAAATCTGGTGTATTAAAAACATATAATTATTTAAAATCTGGGAAGATTGCAAAATTGATGTTACAATTTTTGCTGTATCCGCTGCTGATATAATTAATGATATTATTTCTTATTTTTGAAACACTTCATTATATTGTTTGTGTGCTAATAGTCAAAATAAATGAATATGCACCTTTACGAATTGGAGAAGATTTGTAGAGAACGTTTAGTCGTATTATTAAAACGCTTGGAAAATTTTATTAATTATTATAAGGGTTACGAAAAATTTAATTTAAAACACGAACATGTATTCGGTTGTAATACAATATTTAATAAATTAAAATGATACAAAGAAATGTTTTTTTTTAATTTTCCGATTTGATTGATTCCATAAGATATTCCTCCCGAAACTGCACCACCCAAAGCGGCTTTTCCTACTATAGGTAAAAGTCTTGGTAAAAGTCTTGAAGCAATTGCACCTATTGCTCCTAAAAATTTTCCACGCATTCGTTTTTTGTAACGTGTTTTTAAACGTCTTTTATGCCTTTTTTCTCTTAGTCTTTTACGCATTTTAAAAATATTTTTTTTTGTACAAGTGTTTTTTTTAACGTATTATAGAAGATAGTAAACTACCACCCAATAAAGCGCCTAATATCGGAAGAAATTTACCGCGTATTCGTTTCCTTCTACCGGCTCCTTTTAACGGAGGTAAATAAACTCTTCCTTTTCCTCGTCTTTTATGAATTCTTTTTCTACACAATCTGAGCATTACGTTGTTTTTGCAAATAATCTAACGCTAAACCTCCCACGTCTGATCTAAGTAAACGTCTGGCAAGATTTTTAACTCTAGTTATAATTTTTCCTTTACCTCGATGTTTGCGACCTCTTCTTTTACGATACCGTCTTCGCGCCATACAATTAGTTTTGAGAAAGAACAAATATAAATTTTTTTTTTTTATTTTTTTAAATTAAATAGTCGTGCGTGCATAAAAAAATACAATTAAAACATGGTTGATTTAACTAAAATAAAAATGTTTTAAAAGGTGTTATGATGATTTAAATTTAAAAGGATAATATGTGTAATTTTCATCTTCTCCTGTTCCAGTTTGATTCAGTTGTGCTGCATGTTGAAGGTACAGAGTTATGAGACCTTTGAAACGGGGTAACAAAATCAACAGTAATTTGTAAAGAATTGTTTCCTTGAATGGTAGCCGGAGGTTTGTCGTTAACATAATTATAATCGCTTGTGGTGTCAATAGCTAAAGGTTCTGTTATGTTACGCGTTTGACTGAAATAATCATTAAGATTTCTAATAAAACTGTCATCGTCACTTGTATAAAAATCTGCACAATTATTAATATTAAGAGTAGAAGGTGTATTTCTTTTACACCAAGTAACATAACTACGATAACATAATTGTTGATCTTCTACTTTGTTTTCTAAATCAATTACATAAGTGTCACCTGAAGAATTGACAAAAGTTCTTCTAAAATTATGAAAAGTAATTTTTTTAATTATAGTGCAAGCCATTTCAACAGGTGTCATAGAAGTTTTAGTAAGATGATCGCTTTCTTTTTTTGATTGAACAGAAAACAAAACACAATGAGGTACCATGACAGCTGTTTTTATATTTCCTAAATTTATGGTAACGGTATCTGTACCTTCTACGTTAGTTATAACTTGTTCGTAATGAGCAAAACGTGCTATACACAGGTCAGAAATTTAAGGTTTAAGTTTACTATCCGAGTACCCCAAAAATGTTAATAAATATAGTAAGTGGGGCATCTGGACACTTCATTTTCATATTTAGAAAAATCTGGGAGGTATCACATTTTTAGAAAATTGACATTGAAAATCTGATAAAAAGTCATTATTTTCGTACTTAAAAAAACTAAATATATTGACGGAACAGTAAAACTAACATAAAATAGCTTTATATTCCAAGTTTTTATGCTCTTAAATTTTGTATTTACACATCAACTTCATTAGACAGCTCTTAGATATATCTAAGTTGGTGAAAAAGGTATAGATATGCTTGAATTATATTAGGAACATAGTATGCTTAGTAAAGTAGAACATATTGATAGTATATAAGTAATTTAGTAAAATATTAGTATTGTATGCATAGTTGCCTAATAACCTAATATATATAAATAATAATAATATAATAAATACTAAATAAAATATTTCAAAAACTGTTTATACTAATGTATTTTTAGTGTCTTTTTGAATAAATTTACAAATTTTTTTAACTTTAAGATTTCAATAATGTTTATGTTTTGATGTACAATTAATGTTCAATAACTTATAAATTATTTGAACTGAACACTTCAGCAATTCTTTTGCTTCTTTCTTTGTGTTTGTTGCTGTACTGCGAGACTCCAAACCTGTTTATTACACTTTTCATCTTGGAATGGCAAGATTCAGATGTCTGCTCATTAAACTGCCCAAGAGAAAGGCCACTCAAATCAACAAATGTTTCCAGATGTGCTGTTACAGCATGTACTTTCCAAGTAACCGTGAGTTGTTTACCTAAAAACTAAAAAAGCTTACTATAAATATGTTTATCAATAACTTGGTTTTAAATACAAAGGGTAAAGAAAACAGCAATTACCTCTCTGCAATAGTCTTGTGCATCCTTATAGCTTTGTGTAAAACTTTCAATTAAAATTGAATAGTTTGGGTCAAGTTTATAGCTAAAGACACCATGAACAACCTTATTAAATTTTCTCATTGTTTCTAAGAGAGGATACAGTTCAACAGGAATTATCAACTCAAGTGTGTCGCAACTTTTAAGTATCTCTCTACACGTGTTTCCTTCAAATGTTCCTCCATGGTAACCTTTTCGAAGGCATCCAATGCTCTTGACCCAATCTATAAATCCAGGCCAAAGTTGCATTATAAATTCTGCCACATGGTTAACAAATCCCATCAGAAGGTGAAGTTCTGGTAATGGAATCTCTCTTATTATACTTAGAGATTTGTCTTCTATCTTAAGCAGACAAGGATTAATGACATTCTAAATATATGGAAATAAATTTTTTTTATTCTTTTTAAAATGATAAAATTATAATGGATGATAAATTTTGAAAATATTTACAATATATTTACTCATTTATACCTTATATTCTTTCATTCTTTTCACCGGAGATCCTGCAGATGAATACAGTTCATAGTAATTATTCAAAGATTGAAATGTTCTTAACTCTCCAGAAAATAATTCTGAAGAGCCTTCACACCATGCACATGCATACTTTCCTCCATGAGCCTAAAATTTTATATTATAATTCAATTTATAAATATATTGTAGGGTAAAAAAAACATTTTTCTAATATAGTTTTTACCATAATATGCCTTATTATCTTAAAATTATTTAAAATAAACACACCGAAATTCCTAGCAATATGTTGATTAACTTCATGTCAGAAGCCAATGAGTACTTGCATTCATGCAATTTTAATTTTTCCACAATCATTGTCATGTTAGAATGATTCTCACTTACCCTTTCACAATAAGCTAAAACAAGTGACGTATTTGCTCCTGAGTATGATCCTAAGGAGCTGCTATCTTCTGTCCTGTCCTTGGTTGGATCAAACAGATTTACTATAACTTTCAGTGATCCTCCACCTATAAATATATATATGCTTACACACATACATATTTGTAAATAAATATGTACAAATAATATTTTTAAAAACAAGTTTTTAAAAAAACAATTATTAAAATATAATAAGTAATATAAATTAAACAAAATTAAATATAAATACCTGAATCTATTCCAACCTTTACAAATGTGTTTTGTGGAACCTTCCCTCGATATTTCATTACAAAATCCAAAAATGTTGTAATATCTTCAATATATACCAAGTGTCTCTTCACTGTAGCGTAGTCATTATCTTTTTCCTTTTCTTGAAAGTCTAATAATTCAGTGACATAAAAGTTGGAAAGTAGTTTACTTTTTTCATCCAGGGCTTTCTCTATGTTTGACTCAAACTTTACGCCGCTTCTCCTCAATGTTTTTAACATTTCATATGACTTCAATTGACTAAGTCCTAAGGTATTTACTAAAACTTCTACTTCATTATAAGGAATCTTTCTCTGGTCACTTTCCCGAGTACCGATAGTAATATGAATACTTTTACCTCCTTAATATAATATAAACTGTTATTTTAAAAACGTACATAACAGCTATTTTTATTTAACAATATTTTACCTGTTCTGAGAATGGCTTGAGCTCCTAGACTTTGTTCTTGATCAGAATAAATTTCTTTTAGAAGGGAAGAAGCTACTTGTTCTTTAATTTTTTAGAAACTTTAAAAATACTCTCAGAAAGATTTGTGCTACTCTTTAAAGGGGAACATTTGTGGGGTTTACCTTTAGCAATTTCACAGAAACATATTTGGCAAAATTTCAGTGTTGAGCTAGTTCCCTTTTTCATACTTTTATTTAATAATCTATTTCTTCCTTGACTGCATATAGTGCATAATATTGAGCAATCTCTAGAGGTTTGCAAGCTAGACAAATCAGAATTTTTCCATTTTAAAGTAACTGTGTCTGCAATAGTTTTACCAGCCTTACAGAGATATAAGTTTTTCTTGCAACCTGGGCATAATCCTGTAGGGTAGGCAAATACTTTAAGTGAAAACTCAGGCTTACAGAAAACTTGAACCAGGCCTTCCAAATTTTTATTCACTGGAATGCATTTGTTGTTCTTTTCAAGGCAGCAACAGCAAATGATTTTTTGAAAAAGTACATTATTTCTTTTAAAATGGTATTCTCTCTTCTCCTTAGAGAGCAGAGGAGCCATAGATTCAATATATTAGGTTATCTATAATAAAATGAAAATAAAAATGCATAGTCAAAAAAAAACATTTTTAATAAAAAATGTTTTTTTGACTAACTTTGTGTATTCTAATAATGTTTATGTATAATATATGAACATTTTTTAAAATAAACTTCAACTTTCTGTCAGTATATTTAGTTTTTTTAAGTACGAAAATAATGACTTTTTATCAGATTTTCAATGTCAATTTTCTAAAAATGTGATACCTCCCAGATTTTTCTAAATATGAAAATGAAGTGTCCAGATGCCCCACTTACTATATTTATTAACATTTTTGGGGTACTCGGATAGTAAACTTAAACCTTAAATTTCTGAACTGTGTATAGTATAAGGTTGATCTGGGTAACTGTTTATATAAAAAAGATTTTTCTAAAGGTAAACTGGCTTTGATTCGATAAGTATTGACCCAAATTGCAGGATTTCTAATTTCGAATCCAACATTAGCTAAAGATTCCATTTGTACATCAGTTATAGGTCTTATATATTCTAAAAGTTGATTAGTATCTTGTTCAACAGTAAATTCAATTTTTAATTCTTTACCTTTTCCATAATAACTTTTAATTTGAAAAAATTCACATAACAAAAATAAGGGTACTCTAAAACGAAAACCTTTGTCTCCGTTCATCAAAGCATTATAGGTATCTTGTAGAAATGTTTGATATTCAGGTATAACGGTACTATTCATTGCTTTTATGACCGCATTAACATCGTTAAATTTCATAAGATCTCTTGTTTCAACCCAAGTTGGTCTGTCAATTGTGTTTTCTGTAAATGCTAAATTATGATTAAGCATGTGCTCTCTATAAGCTTTCATATAACTTTTTTTAACAAACATTGTTTTAAATCGTTGGTATGCTCGATTATTTATAACGTTATTAGCAGGCATAGAGTTATTTTTTTGATAATTTGGATATGTTCTTATATTTTTGTATATGTGAAAAGCAAAACCTTCTCTCAAACAAAATAGTTCTAATAATACAAGATCTGTATGATTTGCTGTTGTATTAAATCTTGTTTTTGTGTTTATGTTTTTAAACAAATGAACATCAAATTCGAAAATATAATCTTCCGGTATTTTCCATTCGTTGAGTTTCATAGTAAACGTAATTAAACTTTTTAATTCAGAAGTTAAATCAAGAGTAAATTTTTGAATATCTGTTTTAATGACTTCGTCTTGAGCTACAGCAGTCATAAAACCAGGATATTTTTCGTTTAAGGTTTCTTTCATTTCTTCACTAAGGCTACCACTTGTAGCTTCTTGCAAAAGACGATTTTCGTCTTCTGCTTTTTGTAAAACGTCATCAATGGTAACGGGACCGTTATGGTTAGGCGTATAACGGTTACCATCTCCCGCTCTCATGTATTTTGCTAGAGAACCCATCTTAATATAATATTTTATTTTAATATAATATTTTAATATCACCTTAATATAATATTTTCATCTTCCGAGTCAGAAGTATTTTTTTTAAATGGTAATTTTTTGTTTTTAACATCTTTTAAAGCTCGCGGGTAACCAAGTTCAATTAAACTTTATTTATTTTATCTTTTTTGTTTTTTTTAATGTTATTTTGCATAAAAGGACTGGATAAAATAGCTCTTTGTTGTATAATACAGTTTCTGCATAAACCATGAATAGCGTCTACAGCTTTAACTTCTTGAACACATTGAGCACATACGTGTGAATTTAACGCAACTTTAGTTTTGGATGGTTTTTTTTCAACATATTCTTCTTCAGAACTTTCGCTTTTATCTTCTGAATATTTTACTTTTTTACGTTTTGGTTTTTCAATTTCGTTTTTTTTAATAACATTTTTTTTACGTTGAGGTTTTTCTTCATAAGTGTTGTTCTTATTGTTGATGTTTAAATTTTTTTAATTGTTCACATTTTTCATTCAATTCTGATTTGATATTAAGAACGTCTACTTTAGTTGGTAAATGAGCTAGTTGATTTTGAAGATTACAAAATTTGTTTTGAATTTCTTTTATTTCACTTTTTTGTGGATATTTTAAAGTTTCTGGTATTTTCTCGTTTATTAAATTTTTTTCATATCTCCCTCTTGCTCGAAAAAGAGACATTTTTTTTATACTTTATTATTTTTTTTTAAAAAAAAAGACATCTTTTTATAACAAAAATTATAGTAATCAAATTAAAACACTTTATTTTATACAAATGTAAAAGGTCAAGTTCTTTATTTTCATAACGTTAATTCTAGTTGTTTGTTTTTTTAAAGCAGTTCATTAGAAATCCTTTGTATTTCTTCTTTTTGATTTTTAATCGTTTCTCTTAACTTGAACGTTTCGTATTACATCGATTGTATTTGTGATTGAACATCCTCATTCATTTTTTCCATTTGTTTTTTTATCTTGTAAAACTTTGTTTTATTACAACAAAGACAATTACAATCAATTCGATCCATTCCTTTTAACATTTTTTTGAAAACTAATTATAAAATGGTACCATTTGTATTTTGAAAGCAGGATTTAAAAAACAGTAGTACTTAAATTGTTAAACTTGAGCGGTTCTTTATTAGTGTTAAAAAAAGTCCATTTTGTTTTTTTCCAATCATCTACGTCTACAATATCAAACGTTGTCAATTGTCCTTGTATTTCTGTTTTACGATTTTTAGTAAAATCGATATTGACTGTTACTTGAGTAGCGTTGTTGTAATCTGCCAAATTAAAATAAGAAACAATTCCCGTTTTGTATCTTCTGTTCATGCACATTCCGCAATTGGTAGCTTGATCACATTTAATAAATATAAGGTTGTCGGTAGTAGTGGGAAAATTAGATACAGAATTATTAAAGTTACTTATTTGCATCAAAGTACATCTTAAAAAAGCGATTTTTCTTTTTTGAATTTTAAAATCTTGAGCCATGGTATAAACCATATTTTGATCTATTTCATATTAAACGAATTAATTTCATTTGTCAAACTGTATTGATCTCTTTGTAATAGCAAAGTATAAGGTACAGGATTGTTTCCAATGGGTTGATACATTTTTAAAATAATGTTTTTTAAAGGTAAACTGTTAGACCAAGAATTTGTGACAGAACCGTCACTTTTTTTTTGACGAATAAATTGTACGTTGAGCGAAGTACAATAAAATACCAATTCGTTAATGTTGTTGCCTTGCAAGATAGATTTTGATCCGTTTAACCACGTTTTATAACTAGGTGTAGAGGCTCTTTCAAAAGCAGCCGTAGTAACAAGAGGTACTTTTAAAGTTGGAGAAAAAATAGATTTAGTTTGCTCGCAATAAATCAAAACTTTGATAAATGTTTCTGAATTGTATTTAGCAATCAATGACCAATCTGCCGTTATTATTTTATAAATATCTTCGGGTAAATTAGAAGGAGATGTAGTAAACGTGTTGAGTAAACCAAATTGAGCATGATACGGTGAAATTTGGTTTCCTTTCATTTCAAAATAATTGTTATATGTATTTGTTGAAGCGATTATAGCTTTAGAAATTTGTAATGTTGAATTTAAATTGATTTCGTATGTATTTTGTTCAAATGAAGGTAAACACCAAAAAGTATAATAATTTTTACAATAGTCGTTAGGAATGGATGAAAAACTGTATTGATTGAGGAATTTTTGATAAGAGTAGATATTAGTACCTTCATAAATAAATTGGTCGAAAGTAAGATTATTTAACTTTAAATTAAGTAAATTGTTTGACAAGTTGTAATTTATACTTTCTGTAAAAATATCCATCATTTTTAATTCACTTTCGGGCCATATGATTTGGTCGACGTTAAAAAAAGGTATAGGTAAAGAAGCTAGCGGTATGTTTTGTAAAGTAAATCGATAATATTTTCTTTGACTTGTTTTTGGAAAAAAGATTTGATAAAATCAAGCAAACAATTCTGTAGGTTCTATACCTGTAGCCGATGGAGAGATATAGAGAAGTTTTGTACTAAAAGTATCAAAAACGTTTTTTAAAATGTCTACAAAACTAGTCAGTGTTGTTTTATCTTCTGTATAGTTGTTGTTAGCGTCTTTAACAATAACTTAATCGTTCCAAATTTTCCATAAAGCGTTAATTTGGATTGGAATTTCGATAAGATCAAATTCTATATTATATATGTTACCCTCAGATTTTATTGTGTTTGTGTTAGTCATTATTTTTAATAAAAAAAAACAATTTGCCAAGGAACAATGTGTTTCATTTTAGATGTTTTTACACTTTCTGAGCTAGGTAATAAGTTATTAGCATAAACGTCTAAATCGACACTTAAAATATTATCATCGCGTGTGTCTCGAACGAGCAGACTGCTTTTTGAATTTTGAACAAGAGCTCCTCCGTATTTAGGTGTTACCATGATATGAATAAAAGGACGAACAAAAGTTTCTTCTGTATTATTTAAAATAACATCTCTTTCGGGAGTAAGATTAGCTATATCTCCTGGTGCTACTTGTGGATGTTTTACGTAAATCAAAAAGTTTTTGCTTGTTTGAGTAGATA